ATTTATTTATTTTATTTGACATCAAGGTGTATGCCGTGCCTCCAAGCTTTCTTACTCGTTTTGTTAATAAAAGTTCTATGTTTTATATATATATAGGCTAAAGTGAGTTCGACCCCCACCGTCGTTTTGATTTTTTTATAGTAATAAAAATCATTTAGTTCAGTGAAAGAACAGACACTACAATTAAAAACTGAACGCGGCTGCTCAATGCAGCGTGCCGAACGACAGTCGCATCACAGATCAGATTTAATTTCTCCAGTGAGAGTGAGTCGAGCTGACTGACAAGAAGAGTGAGGTGAGGTGAGACAAGACGATCGCGGATTATTTAGTTTCGAAACTAAATGCAAAAGTGCCTGTTTGGCAATATTTTGGATTTTGAAAAGCCTGTTGACTTTTGCCGTTTATCTAAGGTGATTTTGGAAGTTTTTTTAAACATTCTTTTCTTATTTAATTGGTTCCACATTGTTAGCTGATTTTTACTTTATTTAAACTTTGTGTAATTTATTTATTTTATTTGACATCAAGGTGTATGCCGTGCCTCCAAGCTTTCTTACTCATTTTGTTAATAAAAGTTCTATGTTTTATATATATATAGGCTAAAGTGAGTTCGACGTTGTATTTTTTTGTTGCATTCAAGCAATTGACGCCGAATTGATGCTAATTCGATAAATTAGCATAAAGTAAAATGCGCACGGTGCTTTTAAGCTATTTAATAGCGAAGGAAAGCTAGGAAAAGAGGGAAAATTCAAACGAACTAAAAACGAACAATTGCCGCTATTTGAAAGTGAAAGTAAAATGCACACACCGCTTTTACAAGCTATTTAAAAGAGAGGAAAAGAGGAAACACCCCTGCCCCCACGGTGATACCGTATTATCGGTGTTGTCACACGTCGATTAACCGGTGGGAAAATTTCCTCACTGTCACAACCCTACTTTGTACTGTTATAATGTCAGTAGTTTATGTAAATGAACTATGTGTACTCTCTATGTGAACTCTTTCTCTGTGTTACCTGGACCCAAATATCACCATTTGTTTGTCAGCCAAAGTCTACTGCATAATGCAAAATGCGCCATTTTGCATCATCCGGCGGACTTTTGACAGATCCATGGTTTGTTAAAATTACAGATCGAACTTCTACATTTTGTATCAAATCAAAATCAAAAGTGTATTATGGGTGTCAAAAGTCTGCAAAAGGCATGTGGCACAGATTTGAAAAAAAAACTTCTGTTGCATAGATATGTTGTTTTTTTTGTTTTTAAAGCCCATCTTGGTGAATGAAGGAATGAATTCTCCTTTTAAATCTTACATTGGCCCACATCTGAAGGGTGGGAGGGTCAATCTTATAGAGCTGGTTGAAGTTGCAGTAGACAATAGAGTCTTCAGGGAGTCCATATTGCGAGCGGGTGGTCACCACGATTGTTCTGGGAACTTCTTCTCCTGTTGCTGCCTTGTTGTTAATCTAAACAGAAACAATAAAGAGCAGATGAGTTAATAGTTTAGGTACTGAAATGCATGTGCCTTAAACTGTCGCCCATCCCTAGAAGCCTTTCCACTTCTCTGCCACCAAGTTTGTGCCACCTACAGCAGTGTGAAGGCCCAAGTGTAGGGAAAAATGGCTATTACACATCCTGTCTCAAAACGTGCTATTCTCAGCCAGTTTATGTGTGCCATACCTGCAAGGCTACAGTCCCAGATACTATAACCTCCTCCACAGTAAAAATCTGAAAAACAACAACATGTGGTAATATTCTGACTCTGCCTACAATGAAATTGTCTTTTCGACAGATCTTCAAGATGATCAAAGGAGAAAACTGATCTGAGGTCATTAGAATCATTTCACACCACCAATCTGACGAAAATTAAGTCTCTCATCTGCAAATACAAATGGCACAAGAGCAAATACAGCCACGTTCTGATAAAAACACCTTCACACAGCTAAATCTCCATAAATAATTACATGTTGTCAATTTGGCCATGACAGAGGTGTCACTGACAACAGAAGACAATATTTTAGGGATGCACCGAATGTTCGGCAACTGAAATTCGGCCGAAAATAGTAAAAAAAATCTCTTTCGGTGTTCGGCTGAATAATATGTAAATATTTTTAAATTGTTGTTTTGTAATTGATTTTTTATTTGAAAAGCAGGACAAAACAGTAAAAAGCACATTTTGGCTATTTAATATATGCAATGGTGAAAAAAAAGGCAAAATAGGCCTACATGGGGAAAACAATGCGCCTACATGGGGGAAAAAATGCGAAAAACTGTGTTCGGTATTCGGCCCAGTGTTTAATTTTTTTCTGCTTCGACCGAGAATTTTCATTTCGGTGCATCCCTACAATATTTAGAATTTGATCATTGATCAGAAATTGATTTTGTGAGCGTGATTCACGTGAACACTTTAACCTAATATTTCCAGTTACCAGAAACAATTAAGACAGCTTGCATATGTCAGAATTTTGTCTTGTAAACCACTTATTCAACGGAATATCCATTTATATATGTGCTTGTCCAAACAAAATTAAAAGAAATGGAAAACAAAGTGCATGTAACCCTCTTTTTCAGAATGAAGGCTTAACCAGAAAAACGATGTGCATGTAAATGTGGTCAACTACCCACCGATCCGTCATGCTAAGAATGATGGGCAGGACTAAATCCCAGTGAGAACCCAACTTTCAAAGCAGTGAAGTTAGTGAAATTGCAGTGAAATCAGATCAACACTGAGGGCCTGCAATGGGCCGTACCTGAGTGGTGGCCAGGCCGTTGCTGACGGTAAAGCCGTTGATGGTGACCTGGATCTGGCCCTGGTTGATCATGTTAATGATGGCCTCAGCCGCTGTGTTCATAGGGATGATGGGCATGGACAGGGCACCGTTACTGTCAGCTGACTCTTGACCATCACATTCCATCTGAAAGAGAAAGAAACATTAGCATTTCTGTTTAACCGGGCAATGGAATGCACTAAAGCAGTGATTTCTTCACTAACCTTCACAACTTTGATATCTGGCAGGCTTTCCAGGAAGGCTTTCAGATCGATGCCATTCAGTACAATGCGATTGTCGAAAATATGGCCATTTGACTTGAAGTCTATCACCGCTTTTTTCTATTGGTTAAAAAAAGAAAACCATGAGCCTCATTCTCTGCTATAGATTTAAAAAATGTGATTAGAGACTCAAACTAGCCTTGAGGTGAGGGAACATATTGGCATGATCTCCAATGAAGAAAGTGTTTGGCATGTAGGCTAGTTTCTCAGAGTACTGCTCTGCAACCTCAAAAGGAGACGTCTCCTTATCAGTGATAATGTAGTCCATGAATGGACCTCCACTGGTCCCTGGGTATCCAAGCCACATGGCCTAGGGTAGATTGGAAAAAGTAACTAATTATTAAACTAGATCTTTATATATTATCTGAAGTATATGCTACCATTTAAAAGTTCAAATCAGCATATTATAATGATTTTTTAAGGATCATGTGATGATAAAGCTGCTGGAAATTCAGCTTTGCGTCAAGGAAATTAATTAAATTTTAAAACATATTCAAATAGAAAACAGCTATTTTAAATTGTAATTATAACATGCAATGCTAGTGTTCCAGCTGTTTCTGCCTCTATAATATTCCAAGCCCAGGTGCAAGACAATCCTTATTAATAATTGTAAGAGAATCATCATTAAGGGTTTCCTGAACTTAAGTTCCTAAATATGACCCAGGTCTCTCCTTCAACGCAAGTTTACGCCTGTTTTATCACCCGCTGGGTAAAAATAGCCACACATTTGCACACCCAACTAAATAACATGAAATAAACAAATTCAACCTGAATGGGTGCAGGGCGCAAGGCGAACAGCTCATTGCGTGCTCCTTTAGTATAGCCATTCATGTTGACCAAGATGTGGACTCCATCTTGCTGGATCCTGTCTGCTGCTTTTCCATTGCAGGTGATCTATGAACACAGGACACGATGAAATCAAGACAGACCTCCAAATGGAGGAAGATGATATACCTAAAATAAGCTTGTGATATGTACATGTATACTCACCTGTGAGAGGTCAATGAAGTGATGAGCCTCAGCCATGACTTTAACTCTGAAGTTGGTGCTGTCATCGGGGCTGAGAGCATAGCAAAACACCTGTAAACAATATAACCGTATGAAATCACCAGCTCACCACGATGTGATCAACAGAAAGATCTATACATAACTACTGCATTACAGTCTCATCACCTCAAATTTCTCAGAGTTGTGCATGCCAGGGATGGACTGCATCAGGTGGGAAGTGGGATGGTTGCCAAAATCAGAGCTTACGTAAGCCACACGCAAACGGCCTCCACTGGCCTTCAAGTCCTTTGGACGCTCATAGGCAGGTTTATGAAGAGCATTGACCTACAGAACAAGTATTATGCTGATGCTTATGAACTGAATAAGTATAGGAGCTACTTTTACACCAAAACCAAGTTACAAATCAGAAAATGTAGCAGAATGGGCTTGTATAAACATGTTTAATGTAATATACACACCTTATCCAGACACAAGTTGCCATGCCTCTCTGCAATTGCTTTGCGAAAACCATGAGAGAGGGGGTACAGCATGCTGTGATGGGGATGCACGGATGGCAGGCGGTTCTTCTCCAGTTGATCAGCCACAATGCTCACCAGCTTCTTCATGCGCTCATCGTAGTCGGTCCAGTCACATACAATCTGAGGACCAGAGCACAATATGACGTCACACAAACATTCCCACCAGAGTGCACAGTGAAAACACGCACATTCAAGACGTTTACGTACCTGCAGACAGTGAGCCAGGTTACAGTAAGCATCAGGGAATTCAGGCTTGAGCTTCAGGGCAGTGCGGTAAGATGCAATTGCTTCAGGAATGTTCCCAGAATCCTTCGAGAGGAGAGAGATGCAATTTGAATTCAAAGTAACACTGAAAACAACTGAAAGGAAGTGAATTCTCCAGGTCTCTAGATTCATACCTTGTGTATGGAAGCCAAGTTACTGTGAGCATCTGCAAAAGCGGGGTTGATCTGAATGGCTCGAGTGTAGCACTGCAGCGCCCCCTGAACATCCTGCATCTCTTTCAAAGTGTTGCCCATGTTAGAGTAAGCATCAGCAAATGTGGGGCTGATTCTGCTCAGTGGTTGACAACAAACAGACAGTGAGACTTTGAAAGACACCAACACAAAATTACATCAGGCTGCAGCTACAAACAAGAACAAACCTGATTGCCTCCTTATAGTGCATGAGAGCTTCCTGAAGTTTCCCCTGCTGTTGCAGGACACTGGCAAGGTTTGAATGGGCAGCAGCAAATTCAGGGAACACCTTTCCAACAAATAAAACCAAAACTTAAGACATGGTTCTTAATCTCTCACTTGTAAGTTTTTTTAAGCATGTATAATAATGAATATGGATTTTCAGCGGACGTCACTGGTCCCCTCACCTCCAGTGCTTTTCTGTAGAGCTGCACAGCATCCTCAATGTTGCCCTGCTCGCGCTTGATGTTGGCCAGATTGTTAAGGGAGTCAGCGTGAGTCGGGCACAGACGCAGCGCAGTGTTGTAACACTCCTCAGCTTCAGAAACCTAAAAGTAAACATGATAGTTAGCAGCCAATAAAGCTCTTGATTCTAAAGGTTGTCCAGTGACTTTTAGCAGGCAAAATTCAGCCATTTCAATAGGAATTCATGAGGTTGGGAATTTCTTGCAAGGGCGAAAGACTTCCCAACGGTTTCAAGTTGGGAAATTATTTTTTTTTTTTTTGTCTGCAAAATTTAATTTATGTGAAATTTATAATGACTGTGGACACTGCACAGAATACTGTGCACTAAGAAATCTGGTTAAAAATTCAATAAGATGAAGACATGAGTGTAGACTAGAGGTCGACCGATGTATCGGATAGCCTTTGTGTATATATTTAAAGATGTGCATCTTTAAGCATGACAGTTGAAATGAAATGGTAACACTTTAAATATTATTATAGGAGTCCATTTGTAGCATTAAAATTAATGAAAGCTGTGTAAGCATTGTTCCTTGTTAGAGTATTTTAAAACTAGCGGTTAATTAATCTGTATCGGCCAGTGTGGTCCAACCTAGCTATCGTATCGGCAAAATCCACTATCGGTCGACCTCTAGTGTAGACAACAGTAATGCATGACAGAGGCATAATTCAAGAACATAAACGTACACTGTAAAAAAATCCACTTCCAAAAACGGTATACTACCGTAAAATTAATGTCCAATACATGTAATGTCCAATACAGTTTTTCACCGTATATAGTAGGGGAATTTACCGTTAACCATTTAACAGGTTTTTACTGTAGCATTTTTACAGTCTTTTACCGTTAAATTTACGGTCATTTTTTACAGTGTAGGTTCTTACATTGCCCTTCTCCTTCAGAGCATTAGCGAGATTGCAGTATGCATCAGGAAAGTGTGGCTGCAGCTCAATGGCACGACGGTAGGTGTCAACAGCCAGGTCAATCAAACCCTGCTCGTAGTACACGCACGCCAGGTTTCCATGGACAACAGCATGGTTAGGGCTCAGGCTGAGGGCACGCAGATAACCAGCAACAGCTCTGTAAGGGGAAAACGACATGCATCAGATTGGCTGAAAAAGGCTGCGAGGCAAAACGTAATGGCAGAGGATGTAACCATTTACCTGTCAAAGATACGAGCCTCTTTCAGAACATTGCCCAAGTTGATGTAAGCGTCCAAAAAGTTTGGGTCCAGTGTCACTGCCTGTAAATCCATTGAACAGACCATGTGAACATCATATTCATTCATCATCACTGTCCAAAGTGGGATTGTCATCTGCAACCAACCTTCTCAAAATGATGTATGGCCAGCCAGATCTCCCCCTGAGCATTGAACACGCAGCCCAGGTTACTCCAGGCCACGGCAAAGTTTGGCTGAGTTTCAATTGCCTTCAGGTAACAAGCCTTCAACAGGTTAACAGTAAAAAAAAAAAAAAACAGGAGGAAGAGGAGGTAGATAGAAGAACAGAGTAGATAGAGAAAGGGTTGAAAAAGTAAAGAAAACAAAAAATCAAATAAAAAGGAAGAAAGAACAAAAAGGCAGACAGAAAATGTGTTAGTATCTATTCTCACAAAAAGCAAAAAGTGAGCCTGCAGCATGGGCTCGCGTGCGCGAAATTCTGCCGCGCTAAGCTGCACACTTTTCCTACGCTGCGCAAATCCAACCAACACCTATACTCCGACTTACATTCTTCAGTTATGAATTACCTTCGAATTAACTTTTAAATGAACTAAAATATTACACTTAAGACTAAAAAACAAAAACACGTTGAGTGCAGAGAAGTCAGCTTTAGATCATTCACTTTACATAATCTCAGTAAATTTCACAACCTTAAATGCAAATGCGGCGTGCAGGCGGAGGTCCCTGTAATGCGAGCGCAAAAAGCCACGCAGGCAACCCACACTGTGGTCGCCGCTTGCGCCGTTTCCGCTAGCGCCCGTATTCGCCTGCGCCAACGCCAGCTCAGGGAGCAGACAGCAGACCTGGAGCGATTTGACTCCCCACCAGACTGGCACACACAAAACTATGAAACCCTCTTCCCTTAGGGGCCTTCAAATGGACTGAGTACCCACGGCCAATTCCATTCATATCTTAAGGGGATAATTGTTGGAGAGTTAGCACTACGTAATGGTCGTTGCCATTGGTGTCATGTTTAAGGCTGCACAGCCACTGGGTGCCATGCTAGCAGGGAGGGCATGCAGGTCTGCAACTCGCCAGCCTGAGGTCGAGGGGAGGGGGAGTGCGTTCAAGCGCGCGTCTTTTGGTCGCGGTTTTGACGCTGCGCAGCCCTTGCGTCGCTGCAGACTCACAGCAGAACGCTGCAACTCCAAATAAAGGAGAAAAAAATAAATCATAATCCAAATGAACAGGAAAAAAACAATCAACAAGTAAGAGAGTTAGAGGGCTCTTACTGTGCTTTCATTTGCTTACAACATCCAATCCATTTCTCTTTTTAATTACTTGGGCACTACGCTTTTCTTTTGCTTTCATTAACTATAGTTTTCTTTGTTCTTGCTTTTTTGTTCTTCAAAGGAAGCCACAAGACAGAAGAACTCAGGCATTGGAGTAAGGTGTTTTTCTTTCTGTTTTGTTACAAACCCGTTACCATATTTTTGGACTTTGTCTGGGGGGGGGCGGCCGCAGCTGGAAGAGGAGAGGACTGATGCTGCCCTAGTGTTCCTGTCCACCGGACCGCACCTATGCAGGAATAGTGTCACCCACCTGAAACCTTCTAAATAACAATATCAGTTGTGGAAAAACCAAAAGAGACAAAATAAGAAAACAAGAGCGTTAGTAAAAGTTTGCAATCAAGACATTTCATATGGAGATCAAAACTTGTATTGACAAAGCAAAACAAGTAAAACAAAACCAAAAAAAAAAAGGGGAAAATAAATTCAAAATGACCTAACATCAGTTTAAACCCATGCGATGAAAGGACTGTACATTTTCAGAATCAGGAGTATATTCGCGAGGGGTCGAGAGTGAAGAAAGGCTTTGAGATGAGATTAACATATAAGTTCAAACTTTTCATTACCGTGTCACATTTTCAAATATAGATAAAGGAGGGAGGCCAACTGGCTTGATCTTACCCAAATGAACTGATCACATTTGCTCTGGGAATATTATTAATGATCATAACATACAAGGGGGAAGAAATGTAATCGATGATTATTTTGGTCTTTGTTTACATGGTTTAATACCTTGTTTGCTTTATCCTGTCCTGCCATCTTGACTCCTGGCCAATGGATAAGGAAAAAAGCCTGGGGTTTAAGGACTTCATAATCATCTAGAAGCCTCCACAGCTCTGAAATAAAGAGGTCATCGCTTGTGTCGCGCATGTTTAATACTCTCGCTCTATCATGGTGTCTGACGCGTGCAGTGGAGTGCAAAAAGCGATCTGTCTGCTTGGCACAGCCCAGGGCTGACACAGTGTTGGAAAAACATAAACCCTCCCGAACCCTTGTAAGCCGTAAATATAGGGGGATGTGAAGTTGAACTGGGGGGAAAAACGAAGGCCAAAATGATACAGGCTCTACTCAAATGCACTATGGAGCCCTTACAAAGCATCTGTTGGCTTGACTGAGGGGTCAGGCAGACAGTTCGACGCGCGCACAATCCACGGGCCCTGTGCGAGCGCGCGGGGGTAGGAGCGACAGAGCTGGTGGGGGGCCGCTGGCCCCTCGTACTCTTCCCCACCCCGGCCCCCTGAGGCACCAAATAAGAGGGCTTCTAACCAACAGGAAGAGAAATAATGAGATTTTACTTCTAGATTTTGAGCTTACATTAAATTTGTTAAATTAAAGATTTTAATTTGTAACATCAAAGATTACCAAAACGCGTTCGTTGCCATGTTAATTTAGTGTTAACATTTTTTTCACAGACAACGAGACGATAACAGAGGCACCAAATAAGAGGGCTTCTAACCAACAGGAAGAGAACTCTCTCTACAACATCAAGACAAACTCCCAAAGACCCATCGAAACCACAAATAGCCACATTGCCTCAAAGGCGGTGTTTATTTGGGCATTGTAATGCTGGGAAAGTAAATCCAAACTCACAGCCAAAGGGCCATGACTTTTTAACTTTTAAAGGAAATCAGTTGCTTTGAATAACGCAAATGACCAGAAGTGCATGGTTAGGGTTAGAAGCCATCTTATTTTTTGCATAGCAAAGACCACTATCTTCATCAGTCCATTTATTTCTCCAAGACCGAGCCAGCGAAACCCCTCCAAGAGACTACAAGGAAGAAAAGCATGCCAAACTGCAGCATGTGTTTTAGGACCCCCATTTGGTGAGAAACAGAAGAGCTCAGCCTTTCTTCCTTTGTATGGGGGCAAGCGGGAGCTGGCCGGGCCAGGATGAAGCAGTGTTTTAGACTGAAAGAAGCACTGGAGTGAGAGAGGGCAAAAAAGAAGAGGTGGACAGAAGGGGAGTGTCTCTAATCTAGTCATCCAAATGAACAAAATAAAACAAAAAAGCAAGTGAGAGGGTAAAAAAAAATCATTACATAAACGTGCAAGGGCCGACATGTTTAAACATACCTTTGCCTCTTCAAGGCGCCCAAGCGCCTTAAGCAGGTTACCCAAGTCACTGCGTACACAATACAGATCCTGTAATTAAAAGCCAGAAAAAAATAATCAATTACCAACTAGTACATACAAAATACAATAGGGCTGGTTGACATATAGAATATTTACAATTAGGGATGCACGATATATCGGCCACCATATCGGTATCGGCCGATAAATGCTCATTTTTTCTGTTATCGGTATCGGCCCGATAAGAAAATTTGGCCGATATCTTAAAGCCGATAAATAATGCATTATTTCCTTCAGAGACACTTCAGATGCGCGTTGTTCGTTTGCAGCCTTTTGTGCAATTGTACGTTGTAATATTGTGTTTATTTGATGTATATCTGATTTATCTCATATAGAATGCGTTTGGTTAAGTTAAAAGAGCGCTTCAGTTTACCGGTGATCATCTTTAGCTCAGCGCACGCAGCTCAAACAGCAGTGCAAAACATTAATAACTATGATTGGGAATGTTGTGTATATAACATTCTAATGAGAACATTATTATAATAAAACGTTGTGAATTCTTTGGGTTTAGTTGCTGTGTTTCAGCGCGTTGTTATGGGAAGAGCGCATCCACAACAGGATCACACATTCTGACTATAGCACGCAATAACTGCGTCATTTTGTACATATATAAGTTGTAATATTATGTTTATGTTGTATTAATATTAATCTCAGGATGCATTTCCTTGAGTTAAATAAGCTGCCAGCAAAACGCTTCAGTTTACCGTGTTCATTCAGCTCTTCAGCTTCAGCACATGCTGCTCAAACGGCTGCTATTTAAAACAGTGGTATTAATTTGTTACTTTTTCAAAATCATTGATACATTATTAATAATAACAACCACTTGTATTTTTCTCTTATTATTTTCATCAACAATATGGTTTAGTAATTAAAATCATTTAATTATTGTCCGTGCAGAGGCTATTCCGTTTTATTGATCTATGGCGCATTCATTTTGATTCTTTACACGTGTAATGATGTCCAGTGACTTGTTTGCATTATTTATGCATTATTTTATTTATTTGTAAGACTTTTTTATGACTAAATTGGGAATGGGAGAGTAAATTTATTTTTAAAACGTACACCGTTCAAACTAGGCTGCTTATGTTGAAGTGTTTGGGATGTGGCTTTTAATGATGAGACGTAATCAGGCTCTCAAAAAGTATATAAAAATTTGGATATAGATTTGTCGGCCAACATATCGGTTATCGGTTTTCAAAAATAAAGAATTATCGGTTATCGGTATCGGCCAAAATTTTCATATCGGTGCATCCCTATTTACAATACATTTAATATTTTGTTATAAATACTAAACTTAAGTTGTGAAGACTGTGATGATTTTAGTGCTCCCTTTATCCAGCCACTAAGGTTCAAACTATTTAAAAGAATTTATTCAAAACCCTGCAAAGATCCTGAATGTCATTTTAATTGTTAAAAGATGTTTTATTAGTACACTACAATAATACATAAGTGATACTGAAATGATTCAATATCATTTTTCCATTATCTAATATATTCAAGATTACTTTAATTTTTAGGGGTCAAGGTCACTGTTTAGGCTTCTTCCAAGAATTTGAAACGTTTAAAATTATGGCTACAATGATTGGTTATGTTATAAAATACTGAGATATTGCATAGTAGTGTTGTCAAAAGTACCGATGTTGGTACTGAAATTTTGAAAATGTGATGATGCCAGCATTTCCCGCTAGCATTTAGAGCGCTGTTGAGCGGATTCTTACAGCTCTGATTGGCCATTGTGTCCACGCGCTCAACGGATATGTCTGTGATTGGCTACAATGATCCATCTATGAGCAGATATATTAGGGATCCGTTGATAAGACGTGGCTTTCAAACGCTCCCGTGTATCCGTGTAAGCGCTCTGTGAAGAGACTGAAGCGATGATCATTGTAGCCAATCACAGCCATATCTGTTGATCACGAGAACACAATGGCCAATCAGAGGTGTTTGAGAATCCACACAACAGCGCTCAAAATGCTAGCAGGAAATGCTGGTATTGTCACATTTTTAAAATTTCAGTGCCGACATCGATACTTTTCACAACACGATTGCATATCGTCAAAAGGCTGAAAATAGAGAGATAATTTCTAGCTATATGACACAGCGTGAAACCACTGTGATTCTCTGAAACGTTTTGAGGCTTAACTCACAGGATTGTACTGGAGGGCGGACACATATGCTTGAACTGCTCCCTCCATGTCCCCTGCTGCCACCAACGCTGCTGCCAGGTTGATGTATCCATCGATGAAGTCTGGTTTGAGACGAAGCGCGTGGCGGTAGTGCTCGATGGCCTCCTGAAGTTGACCCCGTTCCTTGTAAACGTTGCCCAGGTTTGAGTAGGCCTCAGCCAGCATGGGGTTCTGCTTGACGGCCAGAGTGCTAAAGTGGGAAGACCTGCAGAATTAAGAAAATGAAAATTAGGAAAATTAATAGAATGAGACATGTGACATATTCCCACCATGTGCAACAAACACACTCCCTATACTGTTCCCTTAAAGAACTGTTCCAGGTTATTTGCAATTTAAGTTTGTATAGTGGATATGGACAAGCTGTCAATTAAAATGATTGTTTATTAGTGTAATAGTTATTCTTGTCATGTTTACAGAATGCCATGTTCTCACCGTTTCTGAATTTTCATAATAATGAGATTTTACTTCTAGATTTTGAGCTTACATTAAATTTGTTAAATTAAAGATTTTAATTTGTAACATCAAAGATTACCAAAACGCATTCGTTGCCATGTTAATTTAGTGTTAAAATTTTTTTCACATATTTCATTAAAAAGAAGGCCATGTTCTTGTTCTTTATGAGAAGTGGTTTTATTTAATTTTAACAAAGTCATGTTGTGTGTCACCAGTTAAATCGGTGTCTATCAAGATAAAACCTTAATATCAAACCTATATAATGAGTTTGGAAATTTTAGAGAAATGCTTAATAAATGCACTGTAGCTTTAGCCGACTAAATTTACTGTAGATTTAGCCGACAAAAATCTTATATGTAGTCGACTAAAACTAAAAACAATTCAGATGACTAAAATATGACTAAAACTAAATTGCATTTTAGTCAAAAGACTATGACTAAAACTAAATCAAAATTTGCTGTTAAAATGAATACTGATGTGCACAGTATCCCCAAGAACATGGATTATCAAAAGGACACCACCTTCATTATCAACAAAAAAGAATAATTACTGCCTCTTAAGGCAAAACCCCCAACTAATAGACCTTTAACACCACTCCTTCTTCCCAAAGAGAAGCAGTGAAGCAGACCCACAGACCGTGCTCCATGAAGACAGAGCAAAGGTGTCCATCTCACCTGTCAAGCCTGCGGCACTGGAAGTGGATAGAGGAGAGCAGCAGCAGTACGCCAGTATTATCCGGCTCCTGCCTCCACAGCTGCATACAGTGGCGTTCAGCCGCCTCAAAATCTCCTGACTGATATTCACGGTGCGCCAGCTCTGCCAACCCTTGGAAGGAAAGCATACGTTTGGTTGGTTCTGGAGCACCAACGCAACCCAAAGGAGGGGGGAAAACAACATGTTAGAAGAAATGGAAATGAGGTCAAATAAAAATTTTTTTAAAAAGACAACAGTGGTGCTGTTTTAGAAAAATTTAAAAACTATAACGTTACCTATTTTTTGAAAAACAAACTTCATGTATTTTGGTCCATCTGGAAAGTGTTCTGACTTTTTGGAGAGTCTAGATGGTGACTCTTGTGGAATTGATGGACATTGAAAGTATATAGACAAGTATGTTATCGCTGTTTTTTTCTTGTTCGTTTTTTAGAAATTTTTTTTAAGGTTATTGAGTTATTGTTGAGTTCATTTATGTATTTTATTAAAAAAAAAAATTCAGTTATAATGAAAAATTGAACTGTTGTCTTAACCTGTATTGCTGCTTTATATATATATTTTTATATTTTTTTTTTTTTTTTTTTTTTTTTTAATATATAACAATTGTCACTGCAAAAAACCTGCAGATTTTCTAAAACTAGCACAGATGGTTCATGTAATGATGACAGCACTTGTGATGTACTGCCATCAAAAATATTAATAAAAAAGAAACTCGGCATCTAATGATCTAAAATGACTGAAATTAATAAATTTGAGGTTTTAAAATCATTAATGAATTGACAATAATTGAGATTAAATTCAGATGTAAAGGAATGAATCGGGATGAAAATGAAAAACAGATGAGGTTTGATATGAATGGAGTATAATGTGATATGAAGGTGGCTAAGTACAGATTAACATAATATGGGTGTGTTCCAGTTAAACAAAATTCAGAATTTAAGAACTGGCTCCCTTTCGATTCACAAAAATGAATTTAAATTAGGTAACCGGAACAAGAATTTGTTTGAAATTAAAATAAAGTCAACACTGTCACAAAACTGAGTAATTTCATTAGTCTAAGCTACAAAACAATAATGTGCACATTTATCAAGCGATCAGACATATCAGCTCCACTTTAAATGACAAAAGGCCGCACGAGACAGAAGAGGCAGGACATTCTCTGCGCCTTTCACACAAACTCCTCACTCACCAGCCTAATAACGTCAGTTGGCTGCTATACCCACCTAGTCTTGTTAAAATGAGGGAAGAAAATACTACTTTAATTTCACTAGTGTAGCTGAAATAGTTTATTAGCTAACGTACATGTTAATAAACACATGTCTAGTAACACATTAACAAACCACTTGACAGTTTACTCACGGCACGCATGCAAAGAGGTCAGTATTACAAAACTATTAAACCGGTCACAAAGAAACTAAACATTAAATCAATAACAGAGGGAGATCATCGTCGCAAGCTTGTTTCTGTGGAGCCAAACGGTCGTTAAAGTCATGGCTACCGTTACCTGTGCTGTCAGCCGCGTTCCCCACCGAGCTCGCCATCTCTCCTCCGCTCTTCACTGAATCCTGCGCAACGGCGGACAGTGTGGCGATTTAAGAGAAGATGTACAATATACAGGTCCCAAACTTACTTAATAAACTTTAAAATTAGGATCCGATATTATCCGATATAACAGCCTGCGGTCTAACGTTACCTGCTGCTAGGCTAACACGCTACCGGACAAATTCACGAAATCTGACGAGCAAAGAAAACGCCTTGAATTAAGTTTTTCCTTGCCGTTACTTCCTCAGAGAATATATACCTTAAAGTATTTAACCTTAAATCGAGATGGGTATTAAAATAAGCGAATTTACATTCGATACTTCGACCACTGCAGTATGTTTAGCTAACAATAGCTTTCCAGTCTCCACCGAAATGGCGGATGTGACCGGAACTTCTTTTTTTTTAGAAGAGGAGGGGCAGGAATATAAAAAAAAAAAAAAAAGTAGATCCATAGAAAAAAATGCGTACGATTCTTAAATAATTATTGTGAAAGCTAATTTGGACAATTGTGCGTTAGTGTATATATCAGACAAATATACGAAAGGTTTAATAGTCTTTATCCGGTTTTGTGTACTCTGAGAAGTCTTTGGCTCTATGTGCTGTATCATTACGCGAGCGCCACTACAGAGCTCAAATAGCGATAGCTTTAAATGGCAGCGATCGGAAGGATATATAGAGCTCGGATGGGGTGTGGGAGCGTACAGCACGCTGTTTAGGTGGGAGCTGTCGCACAATCTACTAAACACAGCATGCTTTAAACAGCTGATTCATCACAGTACATCAAGACAATTGTTTTGTATTACAAGTTTTATGAAATGTTCTGTTTAATTACTCCATAAATCAGAAAATACTGTCAACAGCCAGAAAATAATACCGTAATACAATTCTAAAATCATAAAAAATATTTTTAGGAATAACATGTTATATAAATCAGTTGAATGATATGAACCACTCTGTTAAAACCTTCAGAATATATAAATACAACTAGAAAGTTTGGTCTATGTAAGTGCTGTGTATGCAAATAGACGAGAGTAATTAAAATAATAATAATTGTGAGGGCTGTAGCTATCGATTATTTTAGTAATCGAGTATTCTACAGATTATTCCATAGATTAATCGGATAAGTACTTTTTCTTTATTAAAGAGCAATACTAAATATGCGAGAGTTAATAAGATAGATCTCTTAAAATAAACAACTAATTTGTTTTCTTTTTAGAAAAATTAAAACATTTTTTGCTGAAATTGCATACATTAATAACCGTGAAAAACTAAACATATTTAATGCATTTAATTAAAACATTGAATACTGATATTTAAAATTATTTTAAAAACAAAAAGATACTTTAAATGTGAATTTAAACCCGCCAGCAGGTGGCAGCAAGTCACGGTTAAGAAGTCAGTCATTGTGACTGAACCGAATCATTTAAATGGTTGATTCATTCAGGAACGAAGATTCATTCATGTTGCTCAGAGACGCAAAACAGTGCTGTGACTGTGTTTGGGATTATTTTGTTGGCGAAATAAAGCAAAAACAGGCAATATAGTGTCTAAAACGTAAGTCTCATAATATTACCTTCTTGTTTATTTAACTGTTGAATAAAATCACATTTGTAATCATGCTGATTTTAGAGGTGAAAACTGGCACTCTTCATGTGATATTGACTAACTTTCTTTCTGTGGTATTTTTATGCACAATGGCGTTTAGTCTTTCACAAAACATAGCTAACGTAGGGACATTATAACTAGCCACCATATTGATTTACGGTCTTAAATATGTCCAGCGCTTTTTTTTTTTTTTTAAGTCTGGTCCCTGTTTTTATACAGTCTATGGTCTGGTCCAGCGTTTATCTAACTAAAGTCAGATATGGAAAAAAGGAAAAAGAGAACAAAAAAGGAAGGTGAGGCATGAAGTTGGATCTGGAGTGAGAAAAGGATCAGAGGAGCAAAATGTAGATTTTGTGGTTTGTTTAAAAGTGTTGTTAAATATGTTTGTTTAATAATGTCTTTAATAACCATACAAAATAAAATGTGAACGATTATGTGTATCTTTATTCATATGCATTTACACTGACTGTGCCTCAGATGCAGTCAACAGGAGCTGTCTGTAAAGGTGTGAACCAAATGGTCCATGCAGTTATTTAACAAAGGAACAGCATTCCTCAGGCACTTCTTGTAGATTGCAGGATCTCCAGCGGGAGGTCCTAACTGTATCTATCATTTGTGTCTGCAGGTATAAAGTTCTCACAGACAGAACTTTGGGAGAAGCTCAGATTCTTATAAGGGTTAAGATTCTTGAAGGCCGACACGCTAACATCGCTGCTGAAGAATCGTGCTATACTACCTTCAATAAATTCTTCTCCCCACAAGAACTCTGGTCAAGCTTACTTATTTTATGTATGTATTATGTTTTTAATGCTAAAATTGTCATTTCCCTGCATAATTCGGTGTATTACGTTTCATATCTTTTTATATTTGCTATAAAATGGGTAGGTTTAGGTTTGGGGGTAGGTTAAGGGGTCTAAAAATCTAAATCGTTTATCGATCAAATGCTTTAAAATGCATTGATACAAATATCTTAATGATATTAAAGATTCTTAAATATTTTGAGTTTTTTTTTAGCTGTAAATATGTAGTAATTTTACATTTCAAAAGTAAAATGTCAAATGTAAGCTTTCGTCATTTTAAGCGGCTCATGTTGTTATGAAAATATTCTCATATTGGAATGCTCGGGGATCACGTAACATTAGAACAGGCTTCTGTCTGTGCCGCCTTCATTTACTTGCTCGTTTTCATCACTTTTGCTTTAATTCTCGGGCACTGACTCTTTCGCTAAGCTGAGCCTCCTCTCACTCTCGCCAATGGCCCCGACGCCGATACTACCTCAGCGGTCCAACAGTGCTCATCAATGTCAAAATGACTGAGATGGCCAATCAAATCTCACGTTCTCCAGTCCGAAGTACAAACACTGATTGCAAAGGGAGCCGTAGAAATGATTCCTCTAGGGAACAGTGAGTCAGTCTTTTACAGCCGCTACTTCCTCGTCCCCAAAAAAGATGGCGGGCTCAGGCCCATTCCCAATCTCAGCCATGTGAATCACTAGCTCATGAGACGGCTGTTCAATATGCTGACTTTGAAACAGATCCTCGCACAAGTATGCCTCGGGGACTGGTTTATATCGGTGGATCTGAAAGACGTTTACTTTCACATCTATGTAGCCCCCCATCACAGACCATTCTTGAGATTCGTGTTCGAGGGAGTGGCCTATCAATATACAGTTCTGCCATTCGGACTGTCCCCACACACTTTTACAAAGTGCGTAGATGCGGCTCTCTCCCCTCTGAGACAGATGGGAATCCACATCTTGAATTACCTCGACGATTGGTTGGTTTTAGCCGGATCAGAACTGGAACTCATCGCTCACAGCAGGTCACTGCTCAGCCACCTGGAGCGGCTTGGGTTGAAAATCAATTTAGCCAAGAGCTCTTTGTCTCCTATGCAACGAGTAGTCTTTCTGGGGAAAGTTATCGATTCTGCCCAGATGCGGGCATGGATTCCCCTCTGGGCCTGCTTCACATGCAGCTCCTCCAGTATTGGCTCAAAACCCATGTTTTATTCTCAGGCTAACCCACCGTTGCATCAGAACTGTGGCCCCTTGGAAAACTTCCCGCCGGTTTCAATCAGCCATCCTGTTGGGACTGACCTCCAGAAGGAAGGTGGTCATGACAGATGCCTCTAACTCAGGTTGGGGAGCTCTGCACGAGGGCAGACCAACTTTAGGATCCTGGTCAAACCTGGAGCAATGCTAACACATTAACTGCCTCGAGATGATGGCAATTTTTCTAGCCCTAAAAACCTTCCTGCCGGCGTTAAAGGGGCACCACATCCTGGTCCG